TCTTCTGCTGTACAGATCCTTTCTCTGTACGTGTCTTCTGGCCTACTCAGACCCTCAGTGGTCTGTCCCTTTACAGAATTCTTCCAGGATACATTTTCTATCATTCTTTGGAGTTGCTAGAAAATGCTCCTTTTAATTTCCTGTGTGCACATATTTTTATCTCTATACTTTGACTGTATGCTTTTAAAAAAACAAGCATAATTTTCCCCCTCAAACCACATCTTTTGGTCTCTGGAAGCTTCTAGTTCACTATTTATCTCCTGATTTTCCAAAGATGATTTCAGCATTTGTAGTGTGTAAATTCAAATGAGATGTCCTTTATTTTAGCACACAAGCACCCACACATGGAAAAGTGATTAAAAAATATTTTTAAGGAACAATACAAAAAAAAAAAAGATAACTGCTTAAAAAGTATCAGGGGGGAAGTGTGAATGTTCAGTTTTCTTCCTGAAAAAAAGATATACTCGTGGCCAAATTTGCCATTCTTTAATTTTGTGTTTTTATTGTTGTTGCTCAGTATCTGATATTCAGAATTCTTTAACTAAACTTATTAATCCCTTCTCTTCTAGTAAAATGATCAATTTATCAGTGCCAGATACAATAGATGAAAGAACAATCAACAAGAAGAAACTCACCCCTTTCACCATTCAGGTACTTCTTTCCGTGATTACTAATGTAACATTGTGTTTACAGTAAGCACCAGAGTTACTCAGTGTTCAGACATCATTTCCCTAATGCAAGTTTAGGGATTAAAATGTGGCAGTTGGAACCCACCCAGCAGCTGCTCTTCAGGAGAAAGACCTGGGGAGCTATTGTTAAAAAGATTGTGACCTTAGAAAAGCCTAAGACCTGTTCAGCTCTGTCACATGGGGTTTGCTTTGAATGAAAAGGGACTCAGTGCCACATAACAACAACAACAGTGGGGAATGACAGATACATGTCATTAGCATAGCCCTCCATCCAGATACCCAGGTTCCAAGGCTGTAATCTTTTTTTTTTTCTATTAAAGAAAATTTATTACTCATTGAGAACTATACATCCTTTTTCATGTAGAAATGGGAAGTTATGTAGATGAATATATGCCTTCCAAGATTCGAAGCCTTGTTCAGGGGGTTGTAACTGAGCTGGTATTGAGATGTCCCAGCAGCATGTGAATATGTATGGCAGAGACGCATTCATGTGCACACTTGCAGCTGATTTTGCTGAAGGCAAGTCTTCCACGCTGTTTTCTCAGCCTTGATTTGTACCTTTATAAAATCTCCGTAATACCCAATCTGAAAGTCAAATAGCTATTCTGTTACCCTGTTTTATGACCTTTGTTTCCGTCAATAATTGTGACAAGACAATGACTATCCTCAAAGATGCTGCTTCCTTTATGCCTAATGAGGATGTTGGGTGCGTTGCCTCTGCCACAAAGATGGAAAATAAGATTCCTTAGCTTCATTCTGACCAAGATAGTCTTCACAGCCTTTGACTGACTTCCTCTTGGTAGAATCAGTGTATGGTTTACTAGACTCCCGGTTTCTCTCAGGCTTGTAATGCAGTGAAGACAGTGTCTTAGACCTGTGTGAACTCTCTGGAGTAAAACAGGGTTACTCTTACCAATCATCATTACCATTGACATCTGCGAGGTCAAAGAACAAATCTGACATCCCTTTTCTGTCTCAGGAAAATCTGAACTTGGCTCTGAACTCTGCCTCAGCCATTGGGTGCCATGTGGTCAACATTGGAGCCGAGGACTTAAAGGAGGGGAAGCCCTACCTGGTCCTGGGACTTCTGTGGCAAGTCATCAAGATTGGGTTGTTCGCTGACATTGAACTCAGCAGAAATGAAGGTATGAGCACAGTCCCAGACATTGTTTGTAGCATGGCTTTCTTTTAATACATGTGTTAAAGGCTGCAGGTGGAAAATATCAGGAAAGAATCAAACAGAATTCTCAAGTCTTAAAAATAATATTTTAAAGAGGGGAGCAAATATGTTTTATGATCACTGCTTGTTTACAACATCCAACCTCAAGAACGTTCCTCATAGTCCACTTTGTGTTCGTAGCAAACAAGGGTACTTGTACCTTGGGCTTTTTAAAGTTGTTGCTGTTAAGTACTGACTCCTAGTTGCCCTCCAGTAGATTTTCAGAGGCTGTATGTGGCACGAGAGGAGATTACCCATATTTCTCCCAATTAACAGCTGGTGGGTTTGCGCTGCTTGCCTTTGAGTTGGCACTGCAACCCCTTACCCACCAGGTCACCAAAGCTCACAGCTCCTGCTGAGGAGACTATCATATATCAGGACTGTAGCAAATTGCGTTTAGGATTTCAAAGTTCTCGGCTAAACATGCAGCTGCCAATTTTGTTCTATCTGCTCCTGTGCTCATGACTGCAGATAGACAGTTGCAGCCCACCTGCTTATGTAGAGGCACCTGACCTTGATGAAGTATGGTAGGAAAGACATTGTTACCTTTGAGTTCAAGAGCAAATGCTACCACTGTGACATCTGTAGCCAAGTCTAGTGCTTTTTATTTCTATGTCCAAATCCCAAGAGCCACTGAAGAATTCTAGAGTACAACTTTAAAATCAACATATTATACTTGATTTAAAGGAGGAAAGAAAATATAGATCTTAGAGCCTTGGAAAGAAAATAATATTAATTTGCACATAATGACCTCAGCCAAATTCACATTCTCTAGCTGGCAAGAAAATGCTTTAAAGGAAGCAGAGAAATGAGTTGTTTACATTTTTGAGATGCTATAATTACACAGGTAAGCATTTGAAATATAAAATATCGATGGAAATAAACAAGAGGACATTGTTGCTATTTATAGAATTGATTTCTTAAGAGCAAAAATGCCCTCTCATTGGCAAAGTTTAATAGGACAGCAAGTAATAAATGTTGGAGAGGATATGGAGAGATAGAAACACTTATGTTGGTGGGATTGTAAAATGGTACAAACACTCTGAAGGCAGTTTGGCGTTTCCTCAGAAAGCTGAACATAGAAATCCCATGTGACCCAGCTATTCTACTGCTCAGAATACACCCTGAGAAAATAAGAACTGAGGCACAAATAGAGATTTGTACACAAATGTTCATAGCAATGTTATTCACCATTGCAAGAACATAGAACACCCCACATATCCAACCACAATGGAATGGATTGAGAAATTACAATACATTCACACAATGGAATACTATGCAGCAGACAGGAGCAATGATTTTGAAAATTACTACTTGGGAAGAACTGGAGAGCAATAGGCTACATGAACTAACTCAGTTCCATAGGGACAAATACTGTATAAGACCATTATTGTAGAACATGTATGGGGATCCAAGGGAGGAGGTAGGAGCAGAGGGGTGAGTATGGGCAGGGGCATAACTAGACGGTTGCAAAATTTGATGGATAGAGGAAGGGGTAGGTAAAGGAAATGGGAAAGATCCAATGTGGAAAACAGTGTATACGCACTTTGTAAGTAAACCAGTATAAAATAAAAATTTTACTTTAAAACAAAAAATTGACCTCTCATGAGATGTGGTCTTGGGGGTCCAACAGGGAATTCTGAGCCGATCTCTCTTTTTGTATGTAGGCTCCAGTGTGCTTTGATGTAGTATGGGGGTTCGTTACGGGATGTCTTCTCCCTAGAAAAAAATCACTGCTTTTTTAAAATTTAGAGAATAAATAAAAACAATGAAAAGAAAACTATTAAAACTCAGCATAGAGAATAACATGATGAGCTGTTAAACAATAGGTCAGTGGTTTGAATCCATCAATTGCGCTGCAGGAGGAAGATGGATAGTCTCCTTCCATAGAGATTTACAGCCTCAGAAACCCAGTGGAGGGTCGCTGGAAGTCAGGACCACTGAGGGCAGTGGGTTTTCATTTTAATAAACTTTTTGCCATCATAATGGGGGGAGGGTTTCTTTCTCTTTTTTTTAGAAATGTTATTTGGAAAGAAAAAGGGGAGAAAAGGGACTGCCAGTGCCATGATCGGGCTGGGGGTGAGTTTGCTTTTATGGGTAGAGTGCTCCAACAACTACTTAGTAAGAATGCATTTTTTAAAAGAGCATAATTCTATTATTACCATGCCAATCATGATTTCTATTAAAAAGAAAATAAAATTCATAGCAGCCTTGCAAAGACAGAGTAGAATTGGCTCGTAGGTAGTTTCTGAGCTGTAATATTTGTGGAAGTAGAGTCGCGTTCTCTGCAGAGTATCTGGTGGGTTCAAACTGCTGACTTTTTGGTTAGCAGTCCGGTACTTAACCACTACACTCCCAAGGCTAATTTTCTAATTTCTAAGGAACTGTGCTGCCAATGCGAAGGCACGAGGTTCAAGTCCACCACTGCTCTATGGAGAAAGATGGGCAACTCCTTCTGTGTGTTTTACTGACCCTGAAATCCCTCTGGAAAATCAGCTATGGGTCAGTTCTGACTTGATAAACACAACCACCACCACTTTAAGTATTTATTCATGGGCAATCCCAGTGGGCCATACTGTCTTCAGCTTTCCCACAGAATTCAATGAAAGCAAGCTCTAACTAATTGCCATGGGCCACTTGTGCTCATATCTTCTAATTTTTGTGCTTCTCAGCTCTGATTGCCCTTTTGAGAGAAGGAGAGAGCCTGGAAGATCTGATGAAGCTCTCCCCTGAAGAGCTCCTGCTGAGATGGGCAAACTACCATCTGGAAAATGCAGGCTGTGGCAAAATCACCAACTTCAGTACTGACATCAAGGTAGGGGGCGTGGACTATGGATGCGGGACTTGCTTAAGCCTAGAGAGACACCAGCGTGTTGTTAATGGAGAAAAGACAGATCCTTCTGAAACCCCCAGCTCAGTTAGTGAGCATCTGGTGCTGTTCAGACCCGCTCCTGGTTCTGATCGGCCTGTTTGTAGCCCTAGTGCTGAGCCAGCCACACACACACCTTTTCAGAGTCCTGGTCACTGACCAACACACAAGGAGGAGGAGAGTCCCTTGGAGTTTCAGTGTCAAGAAAGAGAGGGACAAGAGTGAAGGGAAAGAAAGGGCAGGAGATAAGACTTATTTTCTCAAGGAAGGAGAATACGTATAGAGCCGTATTGTTTACTGAATTTTATAATTGGAAACACGAGATAGAGATTCCTTTAAAAAATTAAATGAGAATGGATTTCCTAAATCCACTAAGATAGTAGACAGCAAGTAGACAGTGCCTACTGCATGCCAAACTCTCTCCTGACTGCTGTGTATGAGCAAATATTAATGCCTTTAGACTCCACGGTGAGGGAGGAGGCAAGGAGAAGTACCTTTCCATTTTACAGGTAAGGAAATTGAAGTCATGAAAATTTTAGGTAGCTTGTTCACATTTCTGTAATTGGAACAATGGACCATAATTGACACCTAGGCAAGTATTTGGACTCCGTGGTTTATATGTAATACACTAGACCGATTATACATAAAAACTCAAAAATTTCTTGAATTCTTTTCATCTATAAAAATCAGAATGATTTTTAAAAGCCAATGTTGGTAGAACTAGAGAGATCGTAAGAACATGTGTGATTTCCAGGGACAGAGTGAGAGTTCTGGAGCAGGACAGGAAGAGTTGGAGGAGGGAGAGAATAGATGATCAGTAGCTTTGCTATCATTATGAACCAATATTGATCCATTATCATTAACTAAAGTCACTTGTTTATTTTAGGGTTCACTGTGTGTTGCATAGTCCTGTGAGTTTTAGCAAATATATAATATCAAGTAACGACCTTTACAGTGTCATACAAAGTAGTGGTGCCAAACAATGGCAAGATATTCCTCATGCACACTGTCAGGGAGGAGTGGGCGTGTGGGGTCTCTCTGGAAAGGCACACCTCCTTTAACCATGATTTGCTCTATTGCAAGGAAGCTCTAGTGGCACACTCCCTAGGGAGTTGCGTTGCCAACCCAGAGTTGATGCCTCCCTGTCGGTTCGAATCTACCAATGGCAACTTGGGAGAAAGAGAGGCAGTTTCCTCTGGTGCTATTTATCGTCTCCAAAAACCTGCTGATGGATTGGTTATGAGTCAGTTCTGATTGAAGCATTTTCAAGTTGCTTTATTGGCATCTCCAGATCCTGATTTTTTACAAACCCTGGGCCAAGCATGTGTGATGGGACCATTTTCCCTATTGTATGTCTTTACTTTGTGTCACATTTGGTAATTCTCACAATATTTTAAACTTTTCATATTATTGGGCACCCTGTAGACTGTGATATAGTGGAAACCTTAATGTTTACTGGGAAAAAATGTGACGAGCTCCAGTGTAATATTCACTTTTTTTCCTTATGCAATCACTCATATACACAATGTTTTGTACATGTACTTTGTGTTTCATACAATCATTCATAGACATTATTTATTTCATGTATGTAATTGTTTTTACAATCATTCCTATACAGTATATTTTATGTAATTACTTAACATTGATTTATGTCTATTATCACCCCTTCTTTCTACTCATTGTTTTCCTATAAATTTCAGCTGCTCTTAGAAAAAGCCAAAAAGTATAAAGTAGGAGAGGGAGAGAATCACAAATAATAATGATTCTAGAAACCCTCTGCAATGATTTTTTTGTCCCATCGCATGTGGAAGACATAATAGGTCCTAAAATAGAGTTCTGGAAGGAGACGAGGAGCTCTGGTGACCCACTGGGTCACAGGCTGAACTGCCAACACAAAGGCAGGCAGTTCGAATCAACTGCCACTCTTTAGGAGAAAGATGAGCAATCTCTTCCCTTGCATTTTCCAGCCTCTGTAAACCTTTTAGAGGTTCAGCTGTGAGTTGATTCCCATTCAACAGTAATGACTTGAACTGTTAAAGGCCAAGAGCTATAGGAAGCAAAAATTATGGGTGTCAGTTTTATCAAAAAATTCCATGTTGAAGTGAAAGAAAGGATTGAAGAGCAGGAGGGAGTGTCAGAAAGCACTTCTAACAGTAGATGCTGTGAGATCGGAGCAAAACATTTCAGTCTCCTTTCCCAAAGTAAAAGGAAGGTTTTTTACATAGTAAGTCACATGACCACCAGCTGACTGGCTCTGTGAGTGAGATCTCCTCTCTGCAGTGCCACGCAGACTCAGTAACTTCTGGAAGTCTGCTTTAAACTTCTGCAATCTTTTTCCCCTCCCAAAATATTATTAGACTTTCGCTGACTGACCTTACACAACAATGGAGAGGTATATATTTTTCATGTGTACAATTTAATATATTTTTTTTTCTCACCTGAGGGATACAGAACAGGATAGCTTCTGGTTGAATGGATTGCCTTTTGCGTTATGGTTTTGTGTTTTTAATTATTTCCTTTTAAAAAGAGAACCCAATGTGTTCTACAGCTGACAAACTGAAAATGCAAATGTTTCTAGCTTTGCTAATTAAGTTACATTTAATTAAGTTACATTTTTTAGTGAGAGTTGAGTGAGAAATAGTTATGTTTGCTTTGGGGAAATTACTGTCATACTAAGTATATAATTAGCTGCACTGTTTTGAAATTTTGACTTCTTGATTTCTCACAGGACTCAAAAGCTTATTACCACCTGCTTGAACAGGTGGCTCCGAAAGGTGATGAAGAAGGCATTCCTGCTGTTGTTATTGACATGTCAGGACTGCGGGTAAGGACGGATCCCAGGCAGGCTGTAGAGAACATGGTATTATCTTCCGTAGTTCACTGTGCCTTCATTCTGAATGACTGAGACATTGGAATTCCCTGAGTGGACATTTCTGTATCCGTTAAGATCCATAGGTCTAGATGATAATTTTAGGAAACTAGATGTGGAAAAACCTATAAGGAAAAAAATCTAATATCATTACATTAAATACCATTCACCACAAACATTTCATTATCTGTTTGATCACATCCTAGTCTCTACAACAGCAAGAAGACCTCTGGTGCAAGTGATTTAAGGTGGATGGTTCAAACATGTATTGTGGTGCCATGAAAAAAAAGCCTGGCCATTTGCTGCCATAAAGATTACAGCCAAAAAAAATCTGACGAAGGAGTTCTACTCAGAAACCCGGAGTCAGAATTAACTTGATGACAACAGGTTTCAGGTTTTTGGTAGAGTACCAGAAAGTACTATTATTTACATTTGTAGGTACCTAAGTCTTATTTCTGGAATAAATGACATATTTATATAAATATGTAAATTCTCATTCTGGAGATAAATTTTTAGAAACCCTATGACCTAGAAGGGTTCATTGATATATCCAAGATGATGTGATTGAAGCCCTTTGATTCAAGTTAGGGATCATTCCTTCTAGCCACCCCACTTCCACCCCTTTCTGAGTTTCTTCTCAGTGCCAAGCACTCCCCAGTGTGCATCGCACACACCTGTAAGCTGTAAACATCACTGAGAGATGCACTATTAACTGTTTTGTAGTTGAGAAAACAGAAGGTTAGAGAAGTCAGTCGTGGCCTCGGAGCTAGTACATGGAGTATGGCACAGATTAAAGCCTAGATTAAACCCAAAATTAACCCAGCCACCACCCTACCATCCTCTACTATAGAGGGCAATAGGATAGAAGAATGAGGCAGGATTGTGAGTTCTTACAAGTGTCTGGTTTGAGGACCCTTCCCACAAAGAAGAGACAGCAAAGGCTTGAATGTTAAGACTTCAGTTTTCCATATTGGTCTTACCCATGTTTATTCCTCATTTAATTTCACTGGAGTCAAATTCAATGAGTTGGTATTAGATTTAACAGGTAAAACTCATGAAACTATAATATAGAGTTATATAGTAAAACATTATGTTAATAAATAATTCTAGTTTAATGTTCTCTTTTCTTAAAATTGGTGGTTTAATTAACTAACATCTTTCCAAGCAGTGAGTTATATTTCAATAAAATGTTAGTCTTCTTATAAGAGTCTCCTTATGAATTACTATGGATTTACTAGAACTGGTGGCTTAGTGGGTAAGGAGGTACATTGCCAACCCAAAGGCAGACAGTTGCTCTGAAGAAGAAATTGGGCAACCTCCTACTGTGCAATTTACAGCCTCTGAAAACCCTTTGGAAAGTCACCTGTGAGTTGATTCCAACTCGACTGCAATGGTTTTTTCTTAGTAACTTGAATAAGCTTTCAATACATCTTCAAAATTAAGTCTGCAAAAGTCTAGTCGATGTACATTTATCAATGATAATTAGTCCATAATGCTAATTCAAAGGCTCTGCACCTCCAGCAGTTCTAATCCACCAGTGACAACTCAGGAGAAAGATGAACAGCCTCTTCCCTTACAACTGACAGTCTTGAAAATCCATTGATGGGTCAAATCTGAGTCAGAATTGACTGAGCAGCAGTGAGCAGAGCTGAGCTGGATGAGTTAAATGCTAATTAAATGGTCAGGTTTGATTTGCTTGGGCTAGCAGTGTTCCAGTGATCTCTGGTAGTCTAGTCTATAGGGAAAAGATCATATTTCTCCGGTGGTTTAAATCCACAAACAGACTTGTAGGAGAAAGATCGGCAATCTCCTGGTGCAGTTTACAGCCTCGATTATGAGTCAGTTTGACTGAATGGCAATGAGGTTTTTCATAAGTATGCCAACTCAGACTAGGAAAGATGGTTATCACATACTAATCCGAAGTTTTTATTGGCAAGTACATATATCTTTAAACTAAACTATAGGAATGTAAATAGTTACTTAATAAATCTTTTGGTGGACAAAGATCTTAGGAGGTCTCTTTAGAAAGACAATGAAGAGGAAACAATAGTTGACTATAAGACCACTTTCAATTACAAAATCATGGAACATACTGAATCTCTTTAAAGAAGGCAACACCAAAAACCAATGAGTCAATTCCACCTTAAAATTACCTTCCATCATGTAATCACATCTCTCCCGAGATATAAATCACAAGGGAGGAAATTACCTATCTTTCTTCTGAGGAACTGCTAATGGTTCAAACTGCCTGACCTTCCAGTGCTCTAGCCACCAAGATTCCTTAAAGAGGGAACCAACTATTTATTGGAAATGACCCCATAAGGAGATGCTTTAACTTCTAAGAATCTTTATACTCCTGGCTTCCTGATTTTAATTTCAGGTATATTTATGTCACAGTGTATATATGATTAAGATCTGTGGGGGCAGTATGGTATGTTAATGAGGCATTGTGATTGAACAGTAAAGTGCTTACTTTCCATTCAAGAGACCAGGGTTCAGATCCTGGACAAGACACCTCTGCAAAGCCATGGCCTACCTGTATGAGGAGGTAGTTGTATGAACAGACTTCAGTAGAGTTTTGAGACCAAGACGGACTGAGGAAAAAATGCCTAGTGAGTGACATGGTTCACAGTAGAGCTCTGTCTGATCTGCAGCCAGGATTAGGGATTGGTACAGGACAACCAGTGTTTTGTTCCATGGTACATAGAATTGCCATGTAATGCAAGATCACTCCCTCATAGCTAAACATCTACTTTAGCTAAGCTCTCAGGGTTTTGCTAAGTTTCCTGTTTCCTTTTAATCTTGACCCAGCCTTATACTCTTCTTGTTCACTGCAGGAAAAAGATGACATCCAGAGAGCAGAGTGTATGCTGGTTCAAGCAGAGAGGCTGGGCTGCCGACAGTTTGTTACAGCTACTGATGTGGTCCGAGGGAATCCCAAACTGAACTTGGCCTTCATTGCCAACCTCTTCAACAGATACCCTGCTCTGCACAAGCCAGAGAATCAGGACATTGACTGGGGAGCTCTTGAAGGTAACTGGTTATTTAAAATGTTAGCATAAGTTCTCACAATTTTAACTCAGTGATAATTCAAAATTGCCCCTTATACAGAACTCCGGTGGCTTAGTCCATAGAATGTTACATTACTAGCCACAAATCACCTCCCAAGCAAACTGAGAAAGATCTCACACACTGAGAAAGATCTACAAATGAGCCATCAATCTCCAGTATATAACAATAAAGAGAATAAACAGATGAATCAAGTTAATTATAGCCAAGCAGAGATAATTAAATATCTTTATATCACATTTATTATACCTAGGTTCTATCTAGTATCAGAATTAAGTATTTTTGAGAACACAATGAATTTAATCATAAAAAGAAATAAATTCTTCATCCCCAAAACATAATTTATATACGTGAAAGATTAAATGTTAATCAAAACTCAGAGTAAAATCCCTGGAGACAGTGATTCCAATAAAAGAGCCGAAATTTAAAGAAAAGAGAGAAGCTTTTTGTTAGGAGGCAAGACAATGGCAGAAACCAGCAGCAGTGCAGGCTGCCATTTGGATTTCCTGACCTCCCTTCCAACAAGAATTCAACATGTTGTTGCTAAATGCTCTTGAATAGAGTGTAAGTCTTAGCAACTCTATAAACAACAGATCTGAACTCTGTTCTACCCTGTGCCATCCTCACAATCTCTGACACATTCAAGTCTATTGATGCAGTCACTGTGTCAATCCACCTGGTTGAGGGTCTTCCTCTCCTTCACCATCCCTCCACCTTTCCAAAATAATATCCCTCTGCAAGGAATAACCTCTCCTAGCAACATGCCCACAGTATGGAGATGAAGCTTCACCATCTTTGCCTCCAAGGCGTACTTTGTCTGCACTTTCTCCAAGACATATATGTGTTTTTTTTGGTAGACCATGGAATATTCAGCACTCTTCTCCTACACCACAGTTCAAAGGTGTCAATTCTTCTGTCACCTTTAGTCATTGTCCAGCTTTCAGAGGCATAGGTAATGACTGAAAAAACCATAGGATAGATAAACAAAGGCCCAGATGCAGCAATCAATAGGCTTCAGATGATGCATAGCAAAAATTTTTGTTGCATGTCTTGTCTTATTTTTTTTCTCCATTCATCAGTTTGGATATTTTAGGGCTTTAGTTCTTCCTGTGAAATCAAATATCTATTGTCTTAATTAGTTATTAAGTGTTCTCCTGCTCGTTCTCCAGTCTGTTTTGCAAGGCCCAACATTCCTATTCTAGTTAATAAGGTACATTCCCAGTAAATCATTAACATAAGGTTAGTCACTGGAAAGCATAATGTAGCCACGAAAAAGACAAAATGTCTTAGTACTGCCAACTACTGACTGCCACATCTCTTTACTAGAGGCAAGGAGGACAGCTATTCATCAGGACTTTTAACGAAGGCTAACAGGTGCTTATTGAGTTTACTTTGGCTTCTTTGGTTTAGACTATGGGACAATAGAATAATATTTTGAAACAGAACCCCTGAAATTTGTATTTCTGGAGTTAATGTTCAAAGATTGTTGAAACGCATATAACTTTAGTCAGCTTCAGTGAGGGAAAAGTGCCAGAGATGTTTCATTTTCTTTCGTTTTTCCCCATCATAAACTAATACCAAATTTGAGATAGTAAAATAAAGGAAAAATTAAAATTAATATTGCCAAATATAAGAAAAATCCAGATGTAAAGTATTCATTGACTCTTTTCTAGCTGGACATGCAATATCAATCCAGGTTCAAGCACTGCTGCATTCATATTACTTGCTAAATCCTGGTCAGGTGATTTGTGTATTGTGGTGAATTACAAAGCCGCCTTCTTTTTTTTCTTTTTATACTAGTTTATTTATAAAATTTGAATACACTGTTTTCGAGAACAGTTTCTTCCAATTTCCCCCACCCCCCTATCAAATTGTACAACTATGATTAAACCTCCCTCCCCCTGTACATCCTCATTCCTCTGCTTATAAACAAGAAGAATTTCTGTCTGATTAATGACCATATCTTGAAAGAATATGTGAATATTTTTCTTATATCAAAAATATAATTGATTTCTTATAAATGTTATTGTTAGGTGCCATTGTGTCTAGTACAACCTACATGACCCTATAAATGACAATATGAACCCTGTCCTATCCTGCATCATCTTGGTGATTTCTAATATGTTCAAGCCTTTTTTTACAGTCCTTGTGTAAGTCCAGCTTGTTGAAGGTCTTCCTTTCCTTCTCTGACCACCTTCTTTCTCTAGCACAATAATTTTTTTTCCTAGAATTGGCAACATGACCAAAGTTTCATCATCCTTGCCTCTAAATACCCTGGTTACACTTTCTCTAAGACAGACTGACTTATTCTTTTGGCAGTCCATGGGATAGCCATTTTTCTCTCACACTGTAATTCAAAGGCATGAATTCTTTTTGTCACCCTTATTCGTTGCCCAAATATCAGATAAAAGAGAAACAATTGAAAATACCATTCTTTGGTCAGGCTCCCCTTATTCTTTAAATTACAATTGCTCTTCAATACTTTGGAGAGGTCCTTAACCAATGCAGTGATTTTCCCAATGCACCATGACTTTTGATTTGTTGACTGCTGTTATCATGAGTGCTCATTTTCTATCCAAGTAAAATTAAATAATTGACAACTTCAGTGTTTTTTTCCAGCTATCATGCTGCTACCTATTGGTGTAGTGGTTAGGATTAAAGTGTTATGTGCCATTGAGCCACTTGCAACTCATAATGACCCGATGTACAATAGCTCTAAAGCCTGCTCTAGTTTGTGCCAACTTGATTGTCTCTGACACACTTATCCCCATTACTCCAGTGACTGAGTCAATCCATCTCATCCAGGTTCTTCCCCCCTTGCACTGTCCCTCTACCCTTCCAAGCATGATATTCCTCTCCAAAGACTG